GAGCGGCTGGGATCGCCGACAATGTTATTTGTTAGCGCGCGGCCGCTTGAAACGAGGCCAGATTGCCCGGTGATCGAGTTAAGTGGCACGTGCTACAGCGACGCCGCGCGAAGCAGCAGCAACGCCAGAATTATTAATCGACTCTCGATGTCCGCGATTTGTCCTACGCTCCCTCTCGGCAACTTCGTTTCCAACATATGTAGCGAGAGAGAGAGAGAGAGAGAGAGAGAGAGAGAGCGCGAATTAGATGGCTATTGGACGCGATGAAAGGATTTTCCTGATTGAGCCTAACTCGGTTTTCCCTTTTGCCAGCGAAATTGTTTCCATTTTCGGCCGTTTAGTATGTGCAAAGTGCGCACGCCTCTCGCTCTCCGATGGGCGCAGCTGCGTTTGCTCGGTGTTCACGATTTTTCGGGAGCGCGCCCGTATTGCCCGTTTTGTCATATTCTATTGGCTTGGAACTGTTTGGTGCCTCGAAATCGACGGTACTCGTTTAACGTAGCTTTGCAAAATTGAAAAGTCGACGCCGTTAAGATACTTGCTCTTTTCCTTTGTTTTTTTTTTTTATTTTGTTGTTATCTCGTTAGGCCCGATTAGAAAACGGGCGAGAAAAATGTCCCTCGCACGCGGTCAAGGATCGTCGAATCAAAATGAAAATCGTCCGCTGTAGCTTCGACGACTCTCGAAGTACGGTAGACCGATGCGAAAGCGCAAAATACGAGACCGCACACGACCGATCGCAATCGCCGCTTCGTAACCCGACACCGCGAGGTCTCGAAGGGAAAAGGAAAAGAAAAAAAACGAGAACGGCGATTAATACGCGGCTAATCCTCAATTAACGCATCGGGCATTATACCCGAGCTCGGCAGCGTGGAAGTTAAACCGCGGTGGCGCGCGCGAGTCGCGTGCGAGTCATTAGGGCGCGAAACACGACTCTCGGTGGGTTTTTGCGCGATTTATATTTGAGCTTGATGCGCGATGGGGGCGGGGGGGGGGGGCAGGGGGGAGTGGTCTCGAAAGCTCGAGACGCGAGCGAGAGAGTGACACGCGGCGACGTCTTGACAGCTTGTTAGGCTAACGGCTCTCCTCCTGCCGTCTCGCGCGTTTATAACTTGACAGGCTGTGTGCACGCGGCGCGCGGCCGCCTGCGAGCTTTTCATTCTTTATATTAACGTATTGTTTTGCTTTTGGCTGAGTTTGGGTGCGGTTTGCTAAACTGCCTGCGTGAACGCTTCGTAGTGCTACAACGACGACAGATCGATCGTGAGGTGGCTATGAAGAATGCCGCGATCAATACCTGATGATATGCGTTGTGAAAAGTCATTTGCCGTGAAATTCTCACGTTTTATCGAAACCGCAAGTAATCGCATCTCCGAGCAAGTGTCGATCGGATGAATAATCGGACGAGCGACGCTTTTCGTCAAAGTATTATCGATGTTATTTCTAACTAAAAATATGCAAATGACGACAGTCGATTCGACGAATAACTTTCGACTGACGCCAAATTCACATATTACTACGCTGTTATCGGTAAACAAGGTCGAAGATAAGAAAAACAAAAAGCTATATAGACTCAACCTCCCTCGCTAGAAGAAAGCGGAAATCAGGCACGTGCCTGCGCCCTTAACACGGTAGCCCAACAATGAGCCAACGTGTACACAGCCTAATCTTTGCACATTTGCTCTACGCCGCCTATCATGTCAATCGATTCGCGCGCTCTAACACCCAATGAATCCTGATTAACAAGAGAAAGAAAAGAGAAAGGAATAAGAAAGAAAAGTAGGAAGATTGAGAGTCTTCCAATTAGCAAGACATTTTGCCCCCCGCCACGGTGTATCTGACTTGCAGCTGCTGCGGCAAAGTAATAATTATCGCGATGATACGTGCCGCAACGTGCGACAACGCGGCTCGCTAATTAGTCTTGTTATTTAGTTAGCAGAAAAGCCGAAGCGACGAGGCGAAAAGGAACGAGAATGAGATGATAGGCACACGCGACGACGACGACGACGATTACGTTCGAAAACTATATCTTGCGATCTGGATCTTGCATTCAACGCGTAAAAGACTCGAAACGTATAGGGCTTGGAATTTCGAAATGAACGAACGGGTTAATTATTCGAATGGCATTCGAATTATTCGAAACATTATCGTGGAATCATCTCGATAAAAGGAGCAGCTCTAACATCATCGAGAGCGACGTATCACGGCTGATGATTTTGCCCTTTTCGTGCATGCGTGGGTTGGCAGATAAAAAATGTGTGAGAAAGGGGTTCCGCGAGCGACCCAGGCGAACGAGAGATTCTTATCTCCACGACGTGTTTAAAAATAATTACCGTAGAAGATCTGATGATAGTCACGAAGTTGGGAAGGAGTGGGGGGGAGGGGGGGCTTGAGTGGACGTCAAGCTTGAAAAGCGCAGCTTTTTCTATCATTTCAATTTCACGCGTCAATTGATCGATCAGCACTCAAGAAATAAGAATTAAGGAATTAATCTAGCGAGCAACTACAATTATTCACATGAAAAATACATGAGAATTATTCAACGCTTCTTACCACACATTTTTTTTTCGTCTTTTGTCCAACTGTCTCGTTGTCGCGAGTCTTCCGGTGCATAAAGTCCGCGGTCGAGTGGCTCCTCTCAGGCCTCAACCACTCCATCACCGGCGCTTAAAGAAAGTAAGGTCTGAAGACTCGCGTATACAGTCCACTTTCCCTTCTCTTTGCTCGGGCTCACTTGATTTCTAAGGGTCGCGCTCGCGACGCACACTTGCAACTTCCGCGCGCTCGTGCACCGCACGCGTGTGGGAATCGTCGCTTATTGTTTTCGAGTGCGAAACGCGATACGCAAACGCGACGCGCGTCCTGTATTCCGCGCGAAGCGATTAATCGATCGCGCGAGGAAGATGCATCGCGTGAGAACGAGAGATAGTCAATTGCGGATTTGGTTTATCGGACTTGGTGGCGCGATGAACAAAAAATTGATTATTTCATAAGTCTTTGTTTTCCGGTATGACGAATGCGGATAACGTACTGATATCGTTCGGGAATCCCTTGAACGATAATCGTTCTTTTGGTCGCTCTACGCGCTCGTGCTATCGCTGTGACTTTTCAATTTGTTCTTCAACTTGGTGCGTTTTTTTTATTAATTGTCAATCTTTTTATCCGTGCGCTGCTCACTTAAAAATATCATCAAGATGTCAGATTTTTTAGGACTTTTAAAAAGTTCTTTTTATAAATCTCGATTGATTTGAAAGTTTCGAGTTTTCTATGAATTTTGAGACTTTCGGTGCACTTAAAACATTTTTACCGATTCAATGTGGCTTTCGTTAAATAATCATTATATAATTATATAACAACCATTTTATTAATTGTTAACGGGAATGGCTTCTTATGTAAAGCTCTCACTTCAATCAATGAATTTTTGTCTCATCTACGGTCATAACAATGAAAATGGCAAAATGAGATTCTAATAATCTATATAATTATTGTCTTTTGATTGTTTAATATAACTTTCTGCGACTCACCTCCAAAGTTGAGCTTGATTATTAAAAAAAAATAAGAAAAGAAAGATCACGATTTTTACTGATGAACAATTTCAACATTTCAATTTATGTTTAGAAAATTTTTTAAATTATTTTGTGTTTCATTGATATGCATTTGTTACTTTTCATCAAACTCATATTTCATCTTAGGGTTGAATATTATTAAATATACAGCAAATAAGAAGAAAGGTTTATGGCAGCTTTATATAATTTTAATTATTAACTACTTTACTGTGAATAGATTTATCGAAAAAACGTAAACAAGCAGATAAAAGGAAAACAGGAAAATTAGAAAGCAGAAGAAAATGGATGATATAGAAAGAAAAATACAGAAAATGGAAAAAGGCAGAAGAATAAAAAAAAAAGCAAAAAAGCAGACTAGGAAGAATGGTTAGATGATGAAAAGAAAAAAAGAAAAGGACTCAGTGTTGTTGATGAAAAAAGAGCCGAAATAGGAAGAAGAAAACGAGGTAAAGGAATGGATGAAGAATGAATTAAAAATACAACTAAAGGAAGTTAGAAAGTTTAACGAAAGATATTGGCTAGAATTCAGGACAAAGAGAGAAAGAGAGAGAGAGAGAGAGAGAGAGAGAGAGAGAGAGAGAGAGAGAGAGCGAGGGAGAATTAAGGTATGGGAAAAGGAGAGCGAGCTTTACACAAGAGGAAAAGTAATAGTGGATGAATGTTTGACCTTTGAGAAGACAAAGGTAAAAGGGAAAATGTTGAGGGCGGCGGACAGGATCAATGGTGTCTGCGAGGAGCTCAGGCTAAGGCTAGAGATTGCTGTGGAAAACAGGAAAATGGTAAAAAATGGGAAGAATTACGTAAGAAGAGGAGGAAAATTCAGGAGAGTGTAAGGGTGAGAAAGAGAGAAAGTGGTGATAGGGGAGTGAGTGGGGAGAGGAGAAGAAAACTAAACACATAAACACAGACAATTAAACTACACACATACACACACACACGCACGCGCGCGCACACGCACACGCACACACACACACACACACACACACACACACACACACATATATATATATATATGTGAATTTCATCGTTTTTTCTTTAAATAAAAAGTGTTTTATCAAATTTAAATTGTGGTTGGCTATAAAAAAATTTGTTAATGATATATTTTTTAAGAGAATACTCTGTAGTAGCTTATTTATAATTATTTATGGCAATCCGAAATTGCCTAAAATTTTATATAATTATATTCTCGGCGTATATTTTTCTATAGAATATAATAATCATAATTGTGATTTCGAATAGAAAAATATATTATCATTTCATCGGTGTTAATAGCACTATCTTGAAAAATAAGTACAACTGAAAAATCTTTAAATTCCCTCATTACTTTGATCAATCGTCTGATTGTATCTACGATTAAAAAGTTATCGTATCTTATCTATATAAATGACTATAAATTAATTGCAGAAAACATTTGTAGTGTTTTCATAACTGCAAAGCAAATTTACTTACTATACTGAACACTTTCATAATTAAAAATGAAAGTTATTTTCGGTGTAATGGTACTATGTACAGTAAAATCTTATATTATACAAGCATCACCAATGATTCACAAAAATGTTGAATTAGGCGAAAGCTTGCCAACGAATGAAGGTAATACGCTATTTATATACTGAAAACTGATTGATGAATAGGCTCAAAATAAATGTAATTGAAATGTGAATTTTATATTTTTGTAATACTCCCTCAAAGATCAGGAAATCACAGCATTCAACGGTTACATTCCTACTGCTGGAATTGGTATCCATAAATATCATAACGCTCAAAGGCAAAGCTGGAATGATGCTCGAAAAACTTGTCTAAACGAAGGAGGTAAATAGCAATAAGTCCAATATTGTTCCCAAAAATCGGTTATAAAATTATGTTCTCAAGACGTCAGTCACCTAATTTTGACTAAAGTAATTGTCATCAGATAAAATAGAAAATTTTTCTTAATATTTTGAAATAATTTAATAGACAAATTTATTTATTATCATATTCGTAAATTGTTGTCTATGTAACATTATCGTTCGCCATGTAATTACTTTTTGATAAATTTTAAATGCTCCACAGGACATTTAGCTGTTATCAATTCAGTTGCAGAAGAGTCACTGATTATAAAGTATATGAACATAACTGGCAACATATCTGTAGATCAATTCTGGATTGGTATCCACGAGCTCTTCAAAAAAGACGAGTGGATATCGGTAAAAGATGAGAGATTGGATGCGATCGGTTACACGCATTGGATGGCAGGTCAACCTGATGGCACTCCGAACGAACATTGTTTGACTATTACTCCGCATGGCATGAATGATTTCGTTTGCGACCACCCATTATATTTTGTGTGTGAACTGTAGTTCCAATGTTTCTGTATATTTATTTTTTTTAAACTACCGCGTAATAAAGTGTTACATTTATTTTTTATATGGTAATTGTCATCGATCTGATTATTACAATTATTATATAATCAAATAATTCAAACAGCTGTGCGTAATCTTTTAGCTGATTAAATATGTTTTCCTCTTAAATATAAATAATTGTCGTAGATATAGTAATCATTAAATATCAAATTTGTAGTTTTTTTGTTTATCACTTTTTGTAACATATTCTTGGAATCATGGAATGGTAGTGATTAATTTCACCATTCGAACTACCTCATTTGGAAAAATGCACAAAAAAGACAGTAACTTATCTGGATAATCAAACTTATAAATTATTTTTTTTCACTACAAGCGAGTATTAATAAAAATATTTTACACTTGAGCTTGTTGAGAATGAGTTTACCTTTGTGTTACGTCATTGCTTCAATGTCAGACCAGAAATGCCTCGACTATTTCACGAGCTTTTTTTTCATAATTTAAATGGATCTTTTATGCCTAAAGGCGAAGGTTTGTATGATAACATGAGCAATTTTCAAACATTGTGCATCAGAATTCAACGACGAAACATCTTAGGCATAAATTCACGCGAGACTGTTACGTTTTTCACTTTGGGATTTTTGAGTTGTGAGAGCGTGAGGCTGCATGTCAGCTGTTGAAACAATTAAATGAAATATCTGTATGAACGGTAATAAATAATAAAGTACAGATTTATAAAATAAAAAAATTTATAAAGTACAGATTTATAAAATATTTATTTTGGCATTGATAAATATTTTCATGCCATTTCAAACGAATTACGAAAAAGTTTGTTGTCATATACTTTCATATTACCTGATATCATTGTGTGTATATGCCTGGAGATTTTTATTTCTGAATAATGATGAGGGAATCACAGAAAGCCTGTAGTAGATCGATGCAAGATAATTCACGCTTTGCACAATAATCTTCATAAGAGCGAAATATGTATTAAAAAAATATTCGTTACTGGGCAGTGTATCAGTTATGTTATTATTGAGAGTAATGATACAGCTACGAATAAAAGATATCGTATATTTAATTGTTATATGTGCCAAACATTTTTTATCCGTATGAGATTGATTGTCACGTAGAATTGAGTCTGGATAAGATCTTAATTTTTTTAAATGCAATTACATTTTTAAAAGCAATGAATAACATTGCATATTATTTATACCGGATATATATACTCACATACACATACGTTTCAACATATATTGATATTTGAACAGACAATAAAGTAAAATTACAACAATTTTCTTTTCAAAAATTTAGTATAAATTAATATATGGAAAAGCGAATAAAGTTTCAATTCTGATCAATCAAAACTTTAATATTCATTAGGTAATTTTTGTCTAGGTATAGACATAAATATTCTAAGAATTAAATTTATTTTCGAATATCCTAAATGTAGATTAAGATTATAGCTTACAATAAAGTTGAAGGCTATATCTTTGGCTTGAATATTATGTCATTGAAATAGATTTAAAGAGGTGAAGGTTTCTAAATCACAACATTGTTTTCTATCTAACTTTTTTTATTTCACTTAATAGAAATAAAGTATACTGATTTAAAAGTCAACATTACTTATATAAATTTAAAAATGAAATACAATATTTCACATAATTTGAATACATTCTTAATATTTATAAAAAACAAATTAATAAATCGTTTAAAAACTATTTTATGCTGTTAGCATAAAAACAAAATATCTGATTATATTAAAACAGTTCTTTTTTGTTATTGTAAAAATCAATAAAATCCAAATTAATTAAGTCATACCACTAAGTATCTTCTATTTTTAAAGTAGAAACATATAATCAAGAGATAAAATGTTTATTGTACAAAAAAATTTTCAAATACAAGCTATCAAATTTAATAGTACATTATTTTGTTAAACTAAATCACTTAAATTATGTTCAAACATTGTACAGTTTTTGTTTTGTTAATTGTTAAACAATGTAGTATTTCTGTGAAAAGAATATAAATACTTAGTCATTGTCCAATTTTTAAATACTTAAGTATTTCTTTAAAAAAATATTTACTGTCATATGGTAGCATATACAACTTTGAGCTTCAGTCTCCATTTTTTTTCTTGTTTTTTATCTTAAACAATCTTTGAACACAGTTAAACTTCGTTGAGTATGAAAATTACTTTGCTAGAAGACTCGATCTTGATAACTTGTATCAACAGCACTGGAACTTTGCTTGGCTTGTCCACCTGGCACTTGATGATGTGGATGTCTCATATGTCCTGGTCTTCTTGGTGGAGCTAAGTATTCAAACATACTTTGTGTGTGTTGTGCCAACATTTTACTCAAGTCACAAGGCATAGGGTCAGTCCAGAAAAAGTCATGATTTAAAGCAGAATCAGAGTCAAATCTTTTACTTGGATCAAGGATCAGCAATTTGTCAAGTAAATCACAAGCATATGGGTCTTTTACATATGGCTTCAATCTGTCTTTAACCTATAAATTAAAAAAATGATGAGTATTTTCTACTTTTAAACCAAACAAAAGGTTTTCAAAATGTTTTGCTTACTTTTCGTTTTTGCCCTAAAAGTAATTCCATCTTATTGAACAAATCTAATTTTTCTACTCCAGGCCAAACGTCTGGAGTAATAGAACCACAAAGTTGTGATATTAAAGTTAACTGCTGCTGTTCTGTATTCCCCTGCATGATTGGTGACCTTATAATAGTATAACAATTAATATCAATTTCACTACTAACAATTTATATAAATTGAATTAAATTAAATTAAAATTTTATTATTTTCACATACCTTGTCCACATTTCAGCCATAATACAACCAGCACCCCACAAATCCACTGGTGGCCCATAGTTGCGATCACCTAATAATAATTCCGGAGGTCTGTACCAAAGGGTAACTACTCTGTTTGTATAACGGTTAGCTTGTCCATTTTTATTTATACTGAATGCTCTTGCAAGACCAAAGTCAGCTAATTTTAAAATACCATTTTTTGTAATAAGGACATTTGCAGCCTTCATGTCTCTATGCAATATCTAAAATATAACATACTTTAATAGTAAATCATTCCAAAAGCTTTAGTTAGGAATATTATGTCAACCTTATTACTGTGAATGTAGTACAGCCCATTTAACAATTGTTGCATTACTTTCTTTATTTCTCCTAAACTAAATTTGACATTTGCATTTGACAATAAACCAGCAAGGTCATGTTCACAAAAATCAAAGATGAGATAGAATGTGGAGCGATATTTGTTATACTGAGTTGCTAAAAGAATATATATGTAACATGAATAATTATTCAAAAGATAGAAACAGATGAGTAAATAAATTTTAATGTACCTTTCGTCCTACAAATTTCTATCAGGTTTACAATATTTTCATTCTTTAAAAGTTGTAGAATCCTGATTTCACGTAAAGCTGTGATTGGAAACTGTAAAATGCAATAAATATGAAATGCAAAATAATTTGTACAAGAAAATTTAATCATTTATTTTGATAACTTACACCTTCTTTTTCATTATCCATGAGTACTTTTTTCATAGCGACAAATTTTTTACTGTTTGATTTATCTCTTGCTTTGAACACCTCTCTGTTATTAACAAAAAAAAATTAATTTCGAACATTTAGTTTTTCATATTAGTAAGCATTTTCAGACAAAACGTATATCTACAGAATTTGTCCGAATGGGAGTTGTGGGTATTTATTGAATAATTAATAAATATATTAATTAATAATTAATAAATAGTAAAAATAAATGCATTTTCATGAATAAAGATTATGTGCAAAGTACTTTGAAGCCAAGAAACTTTGCTGTTTTGTTATAATAAAAGTTAATATGTCTGCATAGGTTATGTAAGAAATATGTAGTAATATAATTTTCAATATCGTAGCTTAAAAAAGTTAAAAACATAATTAGTAAAATTTAAAGTTGAAGTATTTTATTCACTTCAAATGTCATGTATATTCATAAATTATAAAAATTAGAACAATTTCAAAAAATATTACAACACAATAACGGTGTTATACGTAATATTAGAATATTTTGACTTTTGAATATTGCAATGATGAAACATACAATCCAAGGATAAATAGTAATTTTCAATAAAACTCACCCAAAGGTGCCCTGTCCAATTTTGGCAACTTTTTCATACTTGGATGCTTCATCGCAGTAGGGAAAATCGAATTCCTCAATGTATTTTTCTTTCTCTTTAAGATTCATAACGAAACTGTACAAGTTTCGTTATAAAAATAATTATTTTTACGCGAATTCGCTACAGACAAACAAGTTGGCCCACTAAAAACATTCACAGCTGTAATAGAATTGCAAATTTGCGATCACGCACTCGGTACGCTTGGTACTGACGGTACTATACGTACTTTTATGATACTTCGCTAGAGAGCGGTGGACTGAACACCAACGAATATATTGACGACTCTCTTTCAACTAACTGAATATACGTCAACCTAAGCAAAGATGAACAGACTATAGTGAATACGCAGCTGCCAGCGCCACGACTGCAGCCTTCATAAGAACGGGGCCTTAACTTACAAATTTACTTCATTAGTTTTATTGCTGTGTTAGTTATATTACTTTCTATTTCTTACCTGTTCACCTTCGCTTCAAACTAATCTAAAACTAAACACCTAAGGGAAGAATTATTCTGAGGCGACGCCCAGGGTTTTTTTGTATTCATTGACAGGTTCCCGCTAAATTATCATAGTATTTCTGCTAATTGACAATTAAGTAATAATATTATATATGAGTAAATAAAAAAAGTACAGTTTTGAAGCTGAGAATCGTGAAGTTGTTCAATGCTGCATGGTTTCCAGATAAATTTTTTCTGGATGATTAGGTAAGAACAATCAAAAAATTCCCGGTGAACAATGAAAAATTTCACTGTGACTATATTTTTTCAGAAATAAAAAAATCTGATATATTGATGCAAAGTAACAGAATTTTCAAATGGTTATAAGATCTGAACAAGTTCCTAAGTCAATAAAATTAAGGGTTTCCTGGGAATGAAATGAGGGTCGTTCCGCAGACTATAATAATAATAATACCTACGCCGTAGGAAAATGCATTAACGGAGCCCATACTATTGTAAGAAACAGTGAGGGGTGACAATGAATCGTCTGTCCCAGACTGTTGCTACGTGTCCAGCCGACTTGATATTGTTCTCAAGAATTTTCGATAAATTGCCTTAGGGAAAGATACCAACATAATAAACCTAATTGGGATTATTGCTAATGAACTTTGGCATCGCCCATCGAACTTGTCAGATTGTAAAAGTTAAGCAGTCACCGACAAGGCCATCGGTTCAAGCTGGCGCCTTTATTTGACTGTACGAGGGAATCCAAACAAGTTCAGTTTTTGTATTTTATCTACGAAGTTTAATACCAACAATTATTACGCAGGATCGAACTTTCAATGTTGCTAACTGAAAAATTGCGTTATCGCGTGAGTGACTGAAGATATATTTTTTTAATCCGGGAAATCACAATTATTAATTTTGATACGATGGTTTTGAAAATCCATTTTTGTTTTCAAGAATGTTCACTTTAATTTTCATACAATTAATAAATCAATAAATAATTTAACTAATAGTTAAATATAATAAAAACAAGTAAACATGAATATTCTTCATAAACACTTAATGAAGTTACAACACTTTCATGTCTACAGATATTTCATTTAAATAATCTGAATTGTAAAGACCTGTTGGAGTATAATTTATGATGATACTTGAATACTTCCACATTTTACTTGTCCATCTGAAACAGAACGCAAGAAATTTTTCACAAAAACGCGAATGAACACGTTCAAATTTGCGAATGGAAATTCGTTCAAATTGTTCTAATGTTATGATATGGAAGTAATGTTTTAGTTATGGATGCAGTATGTATTAAAATAATGGTTATAAATGTTATCGAATGATTATGAGTGCATCGTTAAAAAAAATGGAAATTCATAGAATGTTTATTCTAATCAACACGCACTTGAACCTTTGCACCAACGACCTTGTCCCGGATTCTGGCTGCTGTAGCTGTAAGAGTAGGAGTAAGAGTTCTCGTACGAGTCAGGTTCAAATTGCATTCCAGGCTTTAGTATTTGCCTGCGGATCTAAAAGGATATTAGTTGAAAATGTACTATTTCACGGAGGAGAAAGTGAAACTAAATGACCCGCTTTCCCCAAACTTGGCTATTTCATTGTGTAACTGACTAATCGGTTTTCAGAGGTCATCGTTTATCCTATGGAAAGGAAACGTGGGGGATCCTACGTTTTCTTTTTTTTTCACCAATTTTTTCACCAATGATTCCACTTTCGCGAAAGTCATTTTGATAGACCAAAAGAGCTAATTTAAGGGATTTAAAAAGTATCGGGCACAATGTCAGCGCTTGTGGAAGACAGAATACCTTCAATCGTTTCTATTTTAACTTGGCCAATGGAAATAAAATTGTGTTATTTCTCGAATTTAGTGTCAATTATATTTTTCAGCATCTAATTAAGAATATTGACTATTCATTATACTTAAATTTTCAAATTAATAAAGTATAATATTGCAGCAATTAATATTTTGATTGGAGTGAATCGCATACATAATATTTTGATGTATGTGTTTGAAAAAATTGATAAGTATTGTATATTTTCAAGTCTCACTCTATAGTGTGCGTCATCTTCTTCAACTGGCATACACTGGCCGAACTATAAAGCAATATTCTACATTACAAATTAAATTAAACAGTTAGATAGATCGAAACAAAAAAAAATCATAGGATGACAGTAACAGTAAACCAAATTTCGAAGTTATTAGAATTCATTTTTTCGGGCAATAGATGAAAGATGTTTTTTATAACAAAACAAAGGTATTTTCAAACGAAGTGTAGCACTTACGACAAAAAGGTAAAGCGCAACGACAATAGATGACTTGAACATGATGTACTATTTGTTTAATCCACTTCAAATTGTAACAATAACAAGCTGCACTCCTTCCTTTTTATAGAGAATCTGACGATTATTAAACAAACTTTGCGCTTGACAATAACGAGTTTTCACTCATAACAGGATGTCCAATTATCTTAATAATCGAAAATTACAATCTTTGTCATACGAGGAATGTTTGAATTCACGCCCGAATACCAGAAATTTATCGTGAACAAGGTTTCTTTAAGTTATCATCTTTTATAAATATTTGAAGATTTTCATGTCTAGTATTCACTTCATATATTTATAGGAATAATCGTCAAAATTTTAAATAATAAAGTCTAAATGTATGTAATTTATAAAAAGCAAATTTATTAGTTTTACACTTTTTGTCCGTAACAGTGTAGGATATTTTTATGGTTCAATATATATCGCCAAAGAAATGATAATCTTTGTTCGGGTTTTTCGCTCCATTCGCTTGAGTGCATTACAAATATCCATACTAGAATCTATCAAATTTTCACACTTATATCAAACTATACTATTTCAATAAATTCATAATTTTTCCACTTACTTCCTCGTACAGTTGTAAAAAATTGAATTTATTGACGGTAAGTACATGTAATAACAAATCTGTAGTGCCGATATGAATATGTAAATTCGCGTTAAACACGTATCGCTCACGAACATTTTATTATGTAAGAACCAATTAAATGTAGTGAAATATTCGCCATTGAAATTTCCAATAAAATTGAACTTTTAAGAATATTATATTAAATTAAATAGAGTGAAATGTTTTTGCAGCAATATATTTAATTTTTAATTCTTTACTCTACGAAATAAAAGAAAAATATTACTTAAGTATTATATTTATAAGATTGCCGTTTACACTGTCAATCAATGTAACTTACCGCGTTGATAAGTAAATCATGTTCAGTTAGAGAGGATATGAATATTACGGGTAAAATATAACGAAATATAAATGCTTGTGAACATTAGTGACTTTTTATTATTTCCTACTATTAACAATGTGTTAAGTGCTGCATACTATGCTACGCAATTTTCTATTTTCTTACTTGCCCATCTGAAACAGAAACCAGTAAATTTTTGATCAAAGAGCACCGATTTAATATTTTTTGTTTGCTCATAAAGACAGCAAGAATTCGTGCATATGAATTTTACGACTAAATTTGAAAAGATTCTAGTTTCAATAAATGCTCAAGTTTCTGCGATTTATTTACATCGTAGTTTGAAAAGAAATCAAATTTAACTATTTATATTGTTATTACGAATTTACGTACCTGACCCATCCCACCCATTCCACCACCCCCCATGCCTCCCATACCCTGGTTACCAGGATTCATCAGTTTCTCGCCAAAACCAGTGAAAGTGTGAGCCATATCAACTCCAGCTTTTATAGGGATGTTCATCATATCTCCAGGCATTGGCATTTGCCTGCGAAACTAAAATATTTTACAATTTGAATAAGTTCAGCAGTGTGCATGTATATCAAAATTATTATATGCTTTGAACATTTAATAAATATTTCTCACTAAAAAATATTGTCAATATTTACCCTATCGTGTTCTGCACTCTCTTTTGCTGGCATACATTGGGCGAACTGGAAAAAATATTTTGTTGTAGATAACATAATATAATTAATCAATAGAAACTTAATTTAATAGGTTCTGTAATTATAGAAATAAAATTTTCAGTTGTATAGTTAATGAATAACTGAAATATTCTATTTGAAGTCAAAGATAATGATGTACAGGTTGAATTAGATACTTACAGCGAAAGCGCAAAGTGCAATGACTGCGATTGACTTGAACATCTTGTACTGTTTGGTCAAGTTCAAACTGTAATATCAAGCTACATGGCTTCGTCCTTTTTATATAATTTTTAAAAAATCGCACGGTTATTAAAAAAATATCGCGCATGCTGTAACGAGTTTTCTCTCATAACAGGATGCATCATCTTAATGAGTCGAGATTGTGATCTTTGACTGTTACACACGCCAACTTTAACTGTGCACCCGCGAATATCTGAGAGCACCGTGATACCTCAATCGCTGACATTAACTTATGACAACTTTAATTACATCCGCGCACTTAACAATTGACATTTTTGTGATTGTTTGGTGGTGTTATGAAATTTTGCCGAGCTCGCGTGTCTTGTTAGATATGGATCAAAGAAACAAAATTTCGCAATCGCCTTCGTGAATTTGAGGTACATGGCCAATAATAATGTTTACGTCACTGCAAATGTTCTTTCGTGCAGTATACATGTTTTTATTACATATCAAAACTACACTTTTTACGTCACCTGTTGAGTTGTCATTTCAATTATAATTTCGATCTATGAACTGTCTTATGCCAAACTGATGTATTTGGATTGTAGGTAAAACAATAAATGTGTTAATATATTAGTTAAAAATATTTTATTGTAACAACAACTAGGATCAGCCAGTACACTCATAAAAATCCTTGGTAGCACAGCTTAACATCATTCCATCCGTCGCCTTTTATGTTCGCTTTCATCCCATGGAGAGGTAGTTTAGCTTAATACAATGTTAAAGTAAATGCTCAACTCCAATATAACGTTGAGATTATCCTTTTTGGTAAAAGTAGGGAAATAAATGTCACATTCTGAGTTGTATGATGGAGTTATGTGATTTGTTAAGAAAAAGCTGACTTCGTTGAAAATACGCACGTTATATAAGTTTGCGTAAAAAGAAATTATATGTTACTGTGAAAATGTTTTGTTTATAAATCAAAGAAATAAATAAATCAACTACCATTTTTATAAAAAAAATCTTAACATAATTAACAAAGATTCCTTAGATTCATAAGATTAGAGGAAAGATTGTTACCTCAATCTCCAATTTTTACTTTAAACTTTCGTAACTTGTAAATATGGGTACGACATTCTTTTCAATGCAAAAATTTATTTAACTCTCTACTACAGTCAATTGTACATTATATTTTAATTGTTAGACATAATATTTTTAATCCAATCAACAAAGTTAGAGACTTTCGTATATGCAGTTGGCGATTCACCTTCGCAAGGAACACTACCCCAAGATGTAATTCCAATGACTTGGCCACTGGATATCAGGGGACCACCGGAATCACCCTTAAAACGGATAATTGAATGTAATAATCTACGTATCATTGAAAAAAGTAAGAAATAACTTATTCGCATTACTTACGTTGCAGGAGGAAATCTGATTGTAACCAGGTCCAGTGCACAGATTCTCATCTCCAAGTGTAAATGGCGAGTCTGGAGCGGCAGCTTCAAACATTTGACTACACTTCTGTAAGCTAACTATAGGCACAGCACCCATCTGAAGAGTGTTTGGCATTACTTTTTGAGTTGTACGTGAGATTGAACCCCATCCTGAAAGTACTGCGGTGCCCGATGGTTCACTGTACGGTGATGGTAAGTCAATGGCGTTCACGTATTCATTGAACTGCAGAGGTTCGGAAAGCTTCAATACTGCCAGGTCGTAAGGTCTTACTGGCCTATTTTAGAGATACATTTATTGATTTTTACATTATTGTCGAGCATTGCCTCATTTTATAAGTAAAATATAGTTGTTAATTTTTCGAAAAATGAACGTAAAATAAAGTACCCCGAATAAGAATCATGAACGAAAATGTCCTCCACGCCAACTCGTTGCTCGGTGTCCTCAATTTCTTTGATATTGTGCTTCCCAGCAACGACGTTAAGTCCACCGGCCGAGGTACAGTGAGCTGCTGTCAAAACCCATCTATCGCTAATAATCGCCCCGCCGCAGATGTGGCGATGACCGCTTTGAAGGGATATTTGATGCGGAAACTCACCCCTTGACGCGTCCGTTCCGCCCACGATTCGATTTCTTATACGTTTATATGGGCTGTTGGTTTGACCTGTCCGAAAATTCAATGATAATTCGTTTTGTATACCATTGACAGTTTGGATGGGTAGTTGAATTTACTGGGCTTGAATGACACTAATTTTATTAAGCTGAAGTGTAAGTATAATATTTCGTTGTTCGTCTTTTATCACTCCAAATTAGTAACAATTTTGAATTTTCTTTACCGCGTTAAATTTAGAATATGTACACGCGCATGGGGGATGTGAACGATGAAAGTTGCATCGAAAACACCCACAGGAATTTTAATAATAGTTTACGTTTTGTTCGCATACTCACCATGAGAAATGTTGCAAAAACACCAGATCAGAACAACGCCGAAGAAAACGTTGACCATTTCAGAAATAATTACGATTCCTGCAACGAACCAAAAGTCAATACTGTAGCTCGCAGGGAGTTTGTGACTTCTAACGTGTTGGAATCAAACTAAACCCGACTATCCCAGCGTGCTTTAACTGTATGCCGTCACGGAGTGTATATGTAACCATGGGTTGAGTTTTTTGTTGCAGAAATCATAACTCTTTTACTAGCCATGCAAATCTGTAATTAGGGCCCATTGGAGCAAAAGGTTTACATGCCTGTGTCAAGGAAAAATAGCGCAACTTGCTATGTTAAACAGAAGTAGTAAAAGTTTTTCTTCGTCTTCCGGACGGTTTATGCTCTTGAGTGAAAGGATTGCTCCCGCATCCGAGACACCATAAATAGATTCATTTGTTATTTTCTTCTCCATTCCCTTGAAAATTATAGTAATGCTACTCTCGTAGAAATGTAGCGCAGTCGAGTATGGCTTCTTTTTTCCTATTTTATTTTGAAATAAATAATTAGAAAAGCACAAAAAATCTAGATTATTCGATTTTTATTTACAACTTACAGAGTACAACAATTTCGTGAGGCATTAGCCGCCATATAAAAATTTATATTACATTATATATAGCATATGTCTATCATGTATGCATTATGAAAAAATATGCAAAGGCAATATATCGAGATCTAATAATATTAATAATACAAAATAGCGTGTTGTGATACGGAAACATTAAATTTTCTGTATAAAACATTCTTTCGTAGTTTATAGAAATATAATTTACTACAGTTTTTATGAGACGCTGACGAACTGTTGATGGATTTCGTAGATATGCATATAAAAGTTGTTCTAACATTATGAATTGGAGGCACTTCTGGAAATTGTAGAAACATTCAAGACTCGTTTGATTTGCTTCAGGAACTATTTTTCAATTTGTGCGCACTGGTGTCTGTGTGAATACAAAACAAATAATCTCTTGACGTAGCACCTTAACGAAAACGAAAATTATGCATTTTCATAAAATACGAATAATGGAATTAGTCTAAATTAAACATAAATATGTACATACTACTGCGTGTACATTTTGTAATACTCGGATGCACCATATATCGGACAACACATTTAATATTAATATTACGTAATTATTTATGAAAGTAAACATTACTGATATACTCTTTGTGTTTTGATTTCATATGATAAAAATACTCAATATAGAAAGGCAATTGGAATCACAAAAATTGCATGACTATAAGTCAATTAATACATCACTCAATCAGATGACTTTTCATTTCAAACTTATATGATTTAGCGCTTTGATGATAGATAGAACAGAAAAACTCGCTTGCATGTCGGATAAAAAATGTCGATGATAAATCCTTAAAACTGCACGTTAACATACGTTACTGAACCTAGCACGATAGTAAAACATATAGCTCTAATCATTAATAAAATAAAATCTAAAACAACATGGGAAAATGAAAAATAGAGAAAACGACATTTTGAGCTCATTTCGCGAGATTGATATACAATATATATAATAATATATAGCATCGAAGTCGTATTAAACGGCCTCGAGTGGCGTAACTGTTTCTCTTGCATCCCTTTAATGTCACTACAGGTTCGGTTGGCTCTCGGGGCCGCTTTATCACATAGATTGAAACGTTGCCGCTGTGTTATTCCTCAATTGTCTTCTTGGGCTCAATCGTCACCGTTCAGAAGCTGCTCGAGTGGATTGGGACCCATTAATCGAGTTCTTATCGTTGAAGTCTTTTCTGTGGAGGTGACACCTGTTGATAAATAAAGGATTTGTATTAACATAAGATTTTCTCAAACAAAGTATGCTTTGTTATAATAAAATTTATTAATACATTAAGACCTTTTTATCCTGAAATTAAAGAGTAATTTTTTTAATTGAAGCAATTTTATTTTAAACTGCAATAAATTTAAATTTTATAACGTCTTAACATATTTCGGTTAATGTTTTTATTTTTTTGTTCGCTAAGCATTTAAATGGATTCACAGTAAATAATATTCTTGAATGTTGTTTCATTCTCAAAAAACTGTTCCTAAATACAGAACATTTTTATTTATATATTAAAAAAATTCTTAAAAGACGCGAATTTTACAATTGAAAAATTCTTTTGTAATATTTTAAAGTAACGTAATTTCATCTTTTAAACATCCAAATTCACATCTGAACGTACCACGTAATTTTCTCGATTTCTTTCAAATAACTTACAAATAATAATTAAAAACGTAATATTCTCGTATGTATTTCTATTTTGCATCCTGAACATCAGAAGAGATCGTGAAATCTTTCTTCGCGATGCGTGAATAAAAAGAAGAAATTAATTTTAAGTACCAGTAGTGGGTCGTTGAGAATTGAGACAATCCAGCCATTCGGTCATGCTGATTCGTCGGTCATTGTTGATATCACAGTACCTCGGTAATTTTTTGCCACATTTACGCAGCTGTTGGTTGTTTGCCACCATCGTACGGAACGACTTCCATTCTTTCTTCTCCAAAAACTGATGAATAACATTGACTTGGAATGACTCGATCGAATATTGTTGAGAAACTCATCTCATTAAAAACTTCTATGTACCTTATTTTTGTTTTTATCGAGCATGACAAAGTGCCAGGTGGCGACTCGTTCTTCTTTCGATACCTGCCACTTGTTAATCACTTCATCCACATTCATTTTCTTCTGTAGGAAATCCATCAGATCTCGTAAAAACAGCTGTTTCTTTGCTTCCGGGCATCCTGAAAACCGTATCGATCATGATTTTCATGAAGCCAGCAAGCTTTCAGTTTGGCATTGTTCAAATTTACCTTTCATAGGCCTGACCGGAGTGGGCGCGGGATTACAATTTGGCGTTGAATCCTTCGATGACGTACCGGCAATAGGTTTACCGGTGTCTTGATGGACGCACCAGCAATATCCGAAGTAGCATTGCACTTTGTTGTACCTGCCGTCGGGCGTGCATTGCGGCACGTAAAACTTCTCTTGCGAGTTTTTCTGCTGGTCTTCCATCACGGTTCTTCGGTCGGACATGCAATCGTTGTCTATGAAAAATGCCAACAGTGCCTAATAGACATTTATTTGCTAAAATTTGCATAACAATCGTACAATACTTACTGTCAACCTCCTCGTTGTTTTCCGGAGGATCATCGTTGAACGTTGGTCGTGGTACTGGCTGTGGACTAGCTTTCGAAACTGTAAATATTCATTCATTGTAAATATCATTTAATGGTGGAATGTTTACATTTCGATGGATAACATTATTCATAGTTAATTTAACAAATTAGAAACTAATTATCGGGACAAACTGAAAGAGAACGACAAAGAGAGATAAAAAAGATCAAACAATGCTTTGATTGGATGTAAATGAAAAACCGCCTCCCTCTATATCAGTCATATCTAACAAAAAATGATAAAGCAAGTTTACGCAGCACGCATACGCTATGTACGAGTGTATATACAAAGTGACGTCGGAAATCAGCACTTGGCTGCTCGGCAAATTTGCGCACTTGAAGTTCAGTTGCGTATGTACGTTGCCGTGCGTCACGTATGCTCGGAATTTCATGTTGTAAATTATCGATCCTCGCGCGCTGACATGTGCATAAATTTTTTCTAGACATCGAAAAACAAGAATATGCGAACCTTGATCCATCGAAGCCCGGGTTTGATGAGCTTGTGGTAGCTGCTCTTCGGCTGCAAAAGAAAAACGAACGTGCTTCAGTTATAATGATAATGATGCGCTCGTAATGCGTCAAAGTCGCGCGTGCATTCGACGATTTTGTTGTTCTTTTTGCATTTGCAACTGTGATCAATCATTTCAATTGGCCATCTTTTATTTTTTTCACGTTTATAATCGAACCACTTGCATTATTCATCACAGTGAGAGACTGAATAATCCAAAGTTTCTCCTTCGTCGAGTGAAACTGAACGTCGCGTGCCCAAATTCTAGTATCAAACATATTAATTTTACGGTGTAGCTCACGGTAATGTGCATTTAGAAGGTCGGGAAGAAATGTCGTATTGTTACGTAGAATCTTCGTTTAGATAATCATAATACGGAATATCATAAACAATGTTTACTTTAATAAGGCTATCGTTAAATTCAAACAACGAATTGGTATCCGCGATGAAAAATAGATACGTCGCAATAAATGTGTAATGTTATTTAATGACTTTCATTGCATTTTATAGTAAAATATAAGCTGCAGATCGAACTACGTTTCAAATTACAATGTGTTAATCTATTTGTAATATCTTCGATATTACAAAAATTAAGCTATCACTGTTTAAATTATAAAAGTTTTAAATATTCCAAGTATAAATTTTCCAATTTTCCAAACTCCTATCTACATCGGAAAGAGGCTCGCACCGAAAAACATGTTAACGCATGGCAACGCAGTTTTCAATCAAACACGCATCACAGACACTCTGCATAAAGTCGACTTCCTGTTACGAAAACCACGGCTCAAGCTTAATTTTACTTTCTACGTATTGACGTCGTCATTTGCGCGAATCGAGATAATGGTAGCCGACGGATTAATGCCCCGGAAAGATGTTTGGCTCTTTCTAATTTTTTTTTCGTTTCATTTTCCTCGACCCCCGCATCACTTTATTTTAATTATAGTACGTATGCGTTCATTCCTCGTCTTTGATAATGAAGGAAGTTCGTAGGCGTCTTTCTTGATAATATGATAAAACCTTCAATAAGTCAGTAACGAATGGATATCATCGACTGATATGTGCGCGTCTTTTTTTCGATGGAAATAGTGTTATTAGTAGTGCGCTATTACGCTGGGATACATTTTCGTTAATTGAACAGAAATCATATTAAATTTCCCATTTTTCATTGTTATAAACAGAAATTTTCGTTATTAAATTCAGAAAAAACATCAACATATCCACATCATTTTCCGCAACTTCGTATAAATGCACATATACTAAACATTAGTGTTGCAAGGCCATTCAACCCTCATTTCTCACTCGTATGTAATCGAGCTCCAAATCTCAGAATTCATTTTCGTTGAAGTTTAATAGTACGAGCGGGATTGAAGGTACGCGCTGCCAAACTGTTTCCTTAATTGGACAAATATATAAATTTCGCGATAAGTTTGCTCGTAAAAGAGGATCGTTTTAATTCTGTGGTGCGTGCGAATTCGCAGGAATGCTGTTAATTAACGGCAAGATCGGAATGCGAATGTACTGAGTTTGTAAACAAGTTTACCAGTGCATGTGGTAAGAAAAGATTGAGGAAACTTTGTGATTCGTTTGTAGAGATCTCGTAGGTTTTTACCCTTGCGAAAGGATATGAGAGTTAGGCTAACGCGAAGATAAATTCTATATAAACGGAATCCCCTCAATGTTTTATCCTATCTTTCCTTATTACAATTCGCGCTTGAAGAAGAAAAAAAAAAGTGTTTCACAAATACTCACTGGCAAAGTCGTTAACAACCAGGCAAGCACCCCATTCTTGTTTAGACAGTTTGAAATCCCGATTGCTGTCGCAGTTTCTCGCGAAAGTACGCGCGCACTTCTTCGGCCTCACTGCCTTTTTTGCAAGTCGTCGTAACTCCTTGTACTCCGCTCTGTCTAAGAAACCATCGCCATCCTTGTCCAGCATGACGAATTTCCAGGTTAACACTCGCTCGACGTTCTTGTCACCTGAAAATAGATTTCCGAGTTTTAGAAAGTGAAAGTACTATTCCTAAGATGTTAGAGTTTTTTCTTCTTTTCACAGGTAGATAGATTTTCAAGATGTACATAACGAAAAATTAGAGATAATTTCAAGTTGTTATATAAACACATGGTAAATGATAAATCATATAAATCGGTGGCTATATCACGACTTTGAAAATAGACCAATAGATGATAATATCAGATTATTTGGATGCTTGCATGAAATTCATATCTCTTACTACAATATTGGTTAGCCAATATTTATAACCAATGTAAACATCAAAATATTTACTTCTTGGTTTTTCTAAATTCTGACGATAATTCATTTGGATTCTGAACGTATGATATACCTTTATACAGATAGCATAAAAGGTTTTCCTTGGAAAAAAATACGTTATTGATGCTCATAATCATCTCTAAAATTTTATTGAAAAGTTCATACCTTCTCTAATCAAACTATAACGAAAGCAGATAACAATGGAAAAAGAAGAAACGATAATTCTCGTCGGCGACTTCGCATCACATCAAATCAGTCAAGGCGCCACGTCGATCTTTCTTTTATTGCAACATACACACACGCGCTCGTCGAGCGCGTGCGCGCAATTATCGCGTCTCATTACGATCACGCGATAACCGTCAATTTAGCGGCGCGTTGCGACTGTACGATACTATTATTAAAATCTCTTTTCCTCCCTCTCTTTCTCTCTCTCTCTCTCTCTCTCTCTCTCTCTCTCTCTTCCGCGCGATTTGTCACACGAGACAGGAGTAGGAAGAACTCGACACAAGTAATAAAAAAAAAAAAAAAAGTGGCGCGCGGCGGTGGCGTCGATCGTGGTGTACACGCGAGACAGCGTAGTACGGATTTCTTATCGAGAGCAGGTTTTCAAGTAATTATTACTCAGCATATAATTTTAATCATCGTACGCGTGCGCGTGATTGCCGATGCGGATCGGTTTAAAAAGTAGATCGTTTTATTTTCCTTCACTTTGCCATTGCTTCTGTCACCCGCGCGACAAAACCTTTTTCAATAATGGCACTCACTATCGTTAGACGCATTGATCCTCTTGTACTCGATCTTGAAATTCTCGATCAAGTTCCCATTGAACTTGGCTTTGTCCGCCCTGTCACAGTTGCTCCGATGTCGACTGTTGTACTGTCTCTTCTGCTTGGTATTGGGCGATCGCCTCCTTTGCGCCGCTCTCGTTTCCTTCAAAGCCGCAGCTCCGTTGTTTTTGACTCGATTGCAGCGTGGTCTTGCACCCTTTACCGAGGTGTTCTGTATTGGTCGGCCTTTCGGGCTGACGCACCAACAGTAGCCGGTTTCAGCGTGACACTGAATCGGCGAGTATGTACCATCCGCTCGGCAATCTGGCCGAGAATTCGGTCGAGCCGTCATTCGGGCTGAGAAACAAGGTGGCGCTTCTGCAAAGGATTTGAGCTTGATGTAAATTGTGCCGTTGTGGTTCGATACGGATTGTGATTCGAGCGATAAGAAGCATGTTGAATAGCTATTGAATGAAATTGATAAAATTTAATTTTGATTTAGTCTCATGTTTTCAACGTTCTTTCTTATTTTATCATAACTATCTAAATGACTGTAACTAACTATAAGCAGCTGTTTGTAAATTCGTAACTATCATTCTTCATAAGTTCTTCTAATCGTTAAACGTAAACTTGTGGCAATATTTATGTACATGGCAACCTGTTCGTGTTATTCGATTGTTTTTGTGGAGAAATTTCTAGATAAATCAATAACGATCTCCACGCGAGGCTAGTTGTAAGCGTATTCTGTTCAAAACGTAAATTGTCAGTGAAGAAAATCTTGGAAATTGAAGTGTAAAATCAGCGAGACACGCAATAATTTCACCCGATACAGATGTATTGACGATAAGCTAATTAGCGCTTGCAAACCAAAATGATTTATACGAATTTTCTTTCTTATTGTTTTTAGGTAACTGTCTCGTGAAGCACTTGTCATCCAGACAAAAGTATAAAGATTATACAATCGTGTCACGACGAGTGCATTTCCTGAAAACTGAAGGAAAACGAGTGGGAACTTACCTGGGCAAGGTCCCGTATGTTTAATGAGAATCGACATTCCGAGGCACTGTTTTGCTATCAAGCTACAGCGGTTCGGATAAGTGACACCGTCGCTACCGCAAACCGGTGAGTTTGTTGTCGTAGTGTCAGCTCCGCAGTCTGCCTTTTTCCGTATGCACTCTTCCTGCAATGCAAAGTCGTTGACGTTCATTTATTTTTTGCGCGTGTGTTCAATTCTCTCGCGTTGTAATTCATTTTATTGCCGATCCCATATGCTTGCGTTTCCAGAAGGTATTTGGACCGTACATTGGCGATAAGCAGCGCTGTATATCCACGGATTCGCTAAATATACCGCAAGCCCTGTGTAACTATGCGCCACTCTCGTCACGACGTTGTTACGCACTGGAGCGAACGTGCTGTTGCAATAAGGCCTGGAAACTTTGTGGAAACAACTGCGCAAAGCTTTCCAGTGATTTACGGATCGTTTTTAGATTCTTTTTTTCGTGCACGTGCAATTTTTATCTTTGATCGCAGTCTGAGTTTCCAGTAACCCAAATCGATACATGCGAGTTTAAAGAAAAAAAAATCCAACGCCACGCTGCCTTTCAAGAATTCAATCTCCCGCGGTAAGAGAGAGGCGGGGGAGGGAGAAGAAAGAAATCTTGGCGCCAGTGAGTGCAAAAAGAATCGTCGGTATATTTATAAGCAGGCACCGCGTACAGATTTTTCCGAGCTTGCCGTACGGAAGTTTTTTTAGGCCCCGAACGGGAAAGCCCCGACTTTGAACTTTTTTACGTTATTTCTCGGACAAGTATTGAAGCGAATTGCTACGTGTTTATGAACAATTTTACAACGAGCGCAGTAACACTTAAACTCGCGCATGTTTTGTTTGCTCCAAATTTAAGTAGCATTTGCTTTACTTTTACACGTTCGGTGAATGTTAAGTTTCCGCGAATATAAATTTTGCCCGTCATCGGTTCGATAAAAAAAGTGTAACTTTCGAAGAGAGGAAAATACAATTTATTCACAGCAGATGTCACAGACAGACTTGATGAGTTTTTCCGGTATCGCGCGTTTTCCCTTTACTAGATAGTATAGGTCATACCTTATCCCATTTGTCATCGGCAGTATGCCGCAACATATTGCGGGCCCAAGGCTGAAAAGACCCGTGGCAGGCTTATATCAATTGGCACTTTTATGTAGTTTGATTGTTAATTTTTATACGCGTTATATCTTATTTATTCTCTGCGAGCTACACGATCTGTGGACGTACCTTTCGAGCAGGTGTGATTACTACACTAAATTAGATTACAATATCAATATGGGTTGTAGTTACTGCACGAATATTGGTAACATGCAGTTTCAACCGTGACGAATGAAAACCTCGACCGCCTGTATAATTCAGAAAGAGAAGATGCCGCAACGAGGAGTCGCGATGTTAAGCTTCGCGAGAATTCGACACGATCCGCGTTTTCGGAGAGAAACTCCGATCGACAGCGCGCACGAGAGCTCGCTTTGACTTATACGTGGCTACTTAACGAACAGCACACCTTCCTCTCGCGCCCGCCGACGAGCGTATGCACTATCTGGAGCACTTCTTCGCGCTATTTCCGAGGCGCCGCGTCTGCAGCGATCCGTCCGAGTTGATATTGGTCGAAGCGCATTCACTTTTTTTCTTTCCATCTTTTATTTCTTTACGCGGCGCGCGTGCGATGCCAGATTTTACTTTCTAAATGCCACTTTGTTCGAGTTTCACTTCTTTTTTTTTTGCTTTTCGCCGCGGCGTTCATCGAATTTCGAACTTGCGTAAGACTTTTCTTGCTGCAATAGCAATCCGCACGCGAAGGATACACTTTACACTTTTGACAATGCGCGCGCATACAATGTAAGAAAAGATGCTGCAGAATGAGCCGAGCAGTTTGGTCGCGGCCTATTGTGGAACGAGGTTTTTCAAGAATGAACACAGGCCGTAGAAAATGAAATTCATGCAGGACCGTTGCAACATGGAAAAAAATACGAACGATCTAACCCCAGAAAGACTCGCAAATAGTGAAAAGTTTATTTCACTAAACGTACATTTCTAAGCTGGCCTTTAGACCATGGGTTTTCCAATCTTCTTTCTCTTAAGAAAACTGAAAAAAATAAAATTATGTCTCCGTGGTTTTACAAATGTCTGATGTAGAGTTATACATTTACGTCGTAACAGAGCTCAAACCCCGTTCCCCGTCACAGGTATTTATGCGTACTCATTTTTTTCTTAATTTTTGCCTATCTAGATACGTATGTCGATTGAAAATTTGAATACAGATTATAAATTGCAATTGTATTTTAATGTGCGAAAAACTTTCCTAATGTTCCGCTATTCGTAGGATTGAAGCATTTAAATTTGATGATTTGTCTTACTGTGTATATTCAATCAACGATACAAACCCAGATATACATACAAATTGAACATCTAAATATAAAATACACAAATACAGAGTGCAAATCAAAATAATATATGCGCTCGATTTCGTTTCGTCAACTATTTGTATTACAATTGAATTCCCTCTAGGAGACGCAATTGTAATCGAATGCAAACATTTGCTTTTCAGATATTAATTCCGAAGCGTCCGAAATAGTAGACTCTTAAGCCAACATTTGAAATGTTGAAAACGAGCTCGAGTTGGTAATGCGCGTGCGCGCGCCTGTGTGCGTGTCTGTGGCCATTGTCGCTTTTCAAACAGCACATGGCCTACGCTCGACAGACAGATGCCACAGTGTGGCACTGCGACCCATAAGCAAAAGCCTAAACTGCATCTAAGGTTGGGTCAGGTAGTTTCACGAATTTCTACCTGGCAAAGTGCCACAATCGGTCGATCGTCTATTGTCGCAGCAGCGGCAGTTTCAGGCGGACTCGGCATGCCATAATTTTCCTATTTCCGCAAGCTACGTTTTGATAATATATAATCAAGTGCTTAACGAAGCACAAGTTTGTTATCTATTCTAATGCGCGTAACTTGTCTTCTCTAACACGATTTTCCAGGCGAGCTGCACGTCATTTTTTGCACAAATTTACATTCGACGTCATCTTTATTTCCTGAATTCGGAAGGCAGCGACTCGCTAAAAAAAATTTTGAGACATCGCTCAAAAAATCGTTAGGGTTTTATCCTCGGGCGAAGAGGCGGCGCGAGGCTGAAATCGCTCGCTCGCGTATCTGTCTCGATTTTTCGACGCAGTGTGCGCGCGCGCGGCTCGGGGTATGCGAGCGCGTATACATCGAATATCTCACCTCGCGCGCCTCGCATCGAAATATATGCACCGTTTGCACCTGCGCGAGAGGAGATTCGAGGCACGCTTGCTTTCCTGAACCCTCGCTCGCGGATGGTATTTTGCTCGGCGTTTCGGCGTCGTGGCGGTTCAAGGTTGAAGCGCGCTCGAACCGCCTATTTCATGTCCCACGCGTACGATTGGCTTTGAGCTTTGCAGTGTCGATTTGGCTTTATACGATGATTCGTAACGATTTTGTATGAAAACGATCGCGAATCGTAGAGCTGTCTGTATGAGTTTCTTCATCACCGCGTTACAACGTTTCGGAAATCGGAGACCTTTCTGTATGATTTATTTAATTATGTTGCAGTTATCCGCTCTCTCCTTGGAAATCTTCTAGTTTAATTAAGAGCGCAATCGAAGAAAAAGGTAAATATATAACTTAATTATCGAAAGAATATGCAGAATTCTTATTAAAAAATTATTAACGCGTACGATGAAAAATTGTTTTTATTAATTAATTCAAAAAAGCATTTTTCCACTTTATTTGAATTTTTAGCAAAGAAGACACGGTCATTTCTGATCGCGTTCGAATTCGTCATGCCATAGGCAACAAGCGATCGAGCCAATGGGTTTATTAGAAAGTGGAAGTCAGTACTGCTTCACTTGTCGATCCAGTGTAAATTTCAAAATCTCACAGATTACCTGCTAAACCACGGTTGTAATCTTGACATTCAAGACGAATTTGGCTAGGCACCGCTGATAAAAACGACATATAAACTACAAAACCAAACGGTAACAAATTTGCTGACTAGGAATGTCGAGATGCTGCTTCAAGACTTAAACGGCAGAAGTGCATTGCAAACGGCAATGGAACTACCTTTGGTATTTGAATGTCTGCCGATTATACAAATGTATGCGGTTAAAATATCTAATATGTGTGCCAGCAACGAAGAGATTTTGACATTCTTGACAGGTGTGAAATGTCCACTTAGCTACGTAATGTAATTTATTTCAAAGATGCAAATCCAACGCGAACAATATTGACTCGCGGCTACAAAGTCTATCAACGGAATCCAACCGACAGCAGTACGGCTTTGCACATAGCTGTCGTGCTGTTCGATCTTGAGAATATCAAGGTGCTGTTAGAGTACAGAGCTGATAGGAGCATCGCAAACCACGAAGAATGCATGCCATTTGTTTCTATTTTTACGAGTAAAATATCTGCCGAGAACGAGGCAAAGTATATAGAAAAATTGTCGATTTAATTATGGCACAGAACGTCGATTGGATGGATCGCGACAAAGAAGGAAAATTAAAACTCTACTCTATCTTCGTCAACAGCTCCACCAAATACTTGCAAATAATTCTGAAAATCTATAACGTGGATTTAAATGTCTAAGGTCCCAGAGGCAAAACCCTGTTGTACTACCTTGTGGAGTATGATAAAACGGATGTTCACGAGATTTTCAAAGCCGCGTCAATCAACTGCAACGTGAAAGACAAAAGTGACCGAACCTCATAATACATTGTCGCGATGAGGGACAACAGGGACGCTATGAAATTTCTATTGAACGGAGGTACCTATGCAGACTTGTATTACTATCAAATCACATTGATATTCTTGGTGTATCGCGGTGGAGCGAAGATGGCAATGGTCACGAAATAGCACATGCAGCGAGAAATTATTAACGGTTCGGTTTCCTTGTTTGACATTTTGGCCGATGAGCACTGCGCGAGGACGATTTCAAGAGTCGCGTAGAAGACTGAAACGGTGGAGCAGCTAGCGAACAAGTTTCAGGAGGAAAAGTATAAGTTTTCTACAACAGTACAACAATACAACGTACAGGCTGAGAGAACTTGCTGGGATCTTGAGTAATTACACCACAATGTTCGATCAAGATCACCTGGTCACGAAGAAGATTGCGAAATTA